TAAATGCACTTGGAGTCATGAGACTAGTACATATCAACGTTCAAATTCTTTAGTCGGACAAGTGGCCGTACTTCATGTAAAAGATCTAGCAATTTGCCAAAGTATTTAGCCCTAGAAAGAGCTAACTTTGCATTAGCCCATTCACGATGCCTTAAAGATGTATTCAATAATTTGCATTCAGAAGCAAAACGATAAGAAATATCACGGTAGAGATAGGTCAAATTTGCCTCAAATTTAGCCTTGAGCGAAGCATCTGAAAGATCCAAACTATTTAGAGTTTCAATAGTTTTCTCAATGTTTTCATTAAGAGTCATCATCTCAGATAAAAATTCCAGAGTTTCCTCTCCGGATTTATCTTGATTGGACATGTCACACCCGCTTAGCTTGAGTAAGTATGAAGAGCGTTCAATAGGGTCTGAGAGGACCATATATGCTTGATTTACAAAACTAGATGAATCTAGAGCCATCTTTTGATCTGCCTAAAATAATGTTAATGAATAAATGTACTTCAGGCATGCCAATAAACTTGTCAGGGTGCAGGGAGCGTAAAATATTCTTCATTCGTGAAGAGAGGTCAGCTAAATCAATATCTGGAGTAGGTTCATAATATCCTAGGGCCTCAAAATATGTGCTTTTTGAATTAAGTGGCTGAACTTTGCCGCACTTGCAGAAAAATTCGATACATGTCATAGATGAACCACAATTCCAGCAACTACGTACTTGAGAGGTAGAACAAGCCCTAGCTACTGTTTTAGTGTAATATATTGTTGTTAATTAAAAAATTACGCGCATTGTTTACTGAGACAGACCACAATTTAATACTCAAGCGATGATACAGAGGGAAGTGATGTAGCGAGACAAAACGAGGCAGAAGCATAAAAAGCAATTGCAAAACCCGCAGCAATAAAAGTCGATTTAAACTATGTATATAATATTCAACTATAACTGTATTAGTATTTATTATATTGTAATATTTCATGTGATTTTTTAACCATTATTATAACAGGCTTTCAGTAAAACAGATATTCTGTCGAACAGCCATCTTAACATAATATTAGTATCAATTTAAATAAGCTAAATGAAAGTTCAGCACTTAACTTGGTGAAATATACTATCAAGTAAATTACAAGAAGTATTCTTCTGCTATAGCAAATGAGCTCCAGTTTAATGTTCGAAATCATGAAAATCAATAAAACATTGATTTATGTTGTATATTTTTCCTAATGATCGTTCACTACACTAGGCTTACCGAAACTTTTTAAGCAAAGTGAATCCTTTATTCTGTCAGTACGACTTATTTATTTATATTATCCTTTTTAGACATTATGTACCACCACGTAAAGGCTAACACACTTGTATTCATCAAGATTGATGGATCAAACATACAAATGATTTAGTCAAGGATACAACTTTTTTATTACAACCGAATCTACTTCACTTTTCATCTTCAACTATTTTACGTATTCTTAAACATGTAGGAAAATCAAACAAATAAGAGGCCAAACGGCTGCAGTACAACGAGATTACTCATCTGGTGAGATCTCTTCTTCATGCACTTTCATCCGAAATAAAGGTCCATTTAACAAATAAGAGGCCTCATTAAGTGGATAAATTATAGCCATAGTAAAAACTAGTATATGTCCTATCTTCTAGTGCGGAAGCTCATTTTATAGCACCCGTTTACCTATTCAGGCCCCTTTGAGGTCTAGGTTTCTTCAATTTCCCCCAAAAGTATGTCGCTACAAATAGATTTAGTAAACCGTAACCATCTTCACCACAGGTTTCAAATGTCTTTTACAGAGCTTCTGACATTTATTCAGGCACCTTTCATCTGACATATCGATTGTCCATTGGACATTAGCAGAGGCATAACTTTCTCTAGATCCTCTAATGTAACAAAAACGAGAACTGGAACTAAAGACTTAAGGCAGCAAGATTTCAGACAACTATAAAGTGGTTTTGGTGAAGAAAGGAGGCTAAATAAAATTCAGAAAGCCTGCAAACGGCATTGGAAACCAGTGAGGAAGATGATTGGTAACATTGGAGGAAACGAGAGCAGAGAATGGTGTTAATATGTGAATGAGGGATATAAAATGGGTTTAAAACGAAGAGATAAAGGGCTATAAGATAGGGCTATTAATTGGCTTTTGAAAACGCGGCAAGGATCAAGCCTTTGCTACATGGACTTCCAATTTTATAGTCTCTTGTGTGCCAACCCACAAAAGTGTGGTTCTACTTGTTCTGATTAAGCTCACTAAAGATGTCTCATCTTTGCTTTTAAGTGTTCCTTTCTCGTCATCCTGCGATCTCTTTTCCTAAAATTAAGGATATTACCTTGATCCAGTCGTCTTCTTCTTGATGATCTTGCTGTTTTCTGGTATTTTCTAAGTTTATTTAGGCAATATGCAAAGTTTCCGCTGATCCTGTCTTCTTCAAGTCTGCTGTTCATAAGATTTCTCTCGGTCAGTATATCGATGGCCTCTCGGACCTTGCGTTTTCTCGTATTTTCACCATATACAGCCAGTATCTCTAATAATTTCAAGTCGATTTCGTGC